CAGGTTTATCATATATATATATATATATATATATATATATATATATATATATATATATATATATATATACTACTGAGTGTCCATAAAGTTCGTGTGCACTTTAAAAATTTAGTGCACACGAACTTTATGGACACTTTTGTGTGTGTGTGTGTGTGTGTGTGTGTGTGTGTGCCACTACGACTCTAAGAAGAAGACGTACATTTCATATAAATTGTTATAGTTCAATCTCCAATCATTTAAAGGAACATTCCTGTCCACATTCCTGTCCACATTCACGATTTAGAGAAATATTAAGCGGCAATCCTTTTATACTACACCACGAAAATAAAAAACAAAGACTTCAAATTCTGGAAGTCCTTTCCATAAGAAAATTATGTCCAAAAAGCTTTTATATATAATAAAGTCATGTGATCAAATATTGTTAGTGTTACTGACTTCTTTATAATGCAATTAGTATTTATATTATTTTAGTTTGGGATTAATTTATGTGTTATATATTTTAAATAATAAAAGGTTTTGAATTTAACCATTTTTTTTAATTTTTAACATTTTTATAAGCATATATGTTGGCTTGGAAAAGGATTATTTCTTTGAGGAAAGGAGATATTTTTAAAAACCCTGCAAATTTATATTTTGGTAAGATTCAATAGTGGCACTCCCAAGAATTTACCAAGTTATTTTCTCTTTTAATAACTGTGACATTCTTTAGATCAAAGTTGTAGTTGGACTTATTTCTATGTATGCATTTGATGAAATGTGTATAAAACCATTTTTGTCTTTATATATACCGCTTTTTAAATTTCTGCAAGATTCTTCAATATATTGTGAGGGGCAATTGTGACAGTTTATTTCATATATACCTGAAGCCATGAAGGTTAAAACTGATAGAACTAAGGATTGTAGTTCATCAGAAAACTTTCCATGGAAACAGAAATAGAGCAGCAAGAGGCTTGCAACATTTTGTCTGTGGAGAAAGGGGGTGTAGAGTGGGAAATAATTTGTCACCCACAAGGCTGCAGAAACACTTTTGTACTACTGAGACTGGAAAATGAAGACAGGGCAACTCCTGTCCATAATATGGCAACAGTACTCCATTTTTGGCCTGATTTGGCTCTTGTAAAGATAGAACATAGCAGATGGAGTCAGGTACTTATGAGAGCTTTACAGGGAACTGACCATTTTTTTCAGCATCTTTAGTGATAGATTGTATGTATGAGTTCCACTTGAGGTCAGTGTGGCCTCCTTGTGCATCTATTTTAAAAATGTGTCTCTGTTAAATCCTGTTTAAAATACATTCACACAGTCCCTATAATGTAAGGATTTTATTTTGAAATAAGTATTTATAGACAGAAGTAAAAATGTTATCAGTTTTTCTCATTCTTTAAATTTAAGAATGCTTATAAATATACATTAAGCTAACTGGAAGTCAAGTGGTAAATTATGGAAGATGCAAAGTGATGTAATATAATGTCTAATAAATGAAAGAGAGGAAATGTAATTGGTCTTGAATTTTTTTTATAATGCAATTAATATTTATATTATTTTAGTTTGGGATAAATTTATGTGTTATATATTTTAAATAATAGAAGGTTTTGAATTTAACCATTTTCTTTTAATTTTTTAACATGTTTATAGGCATTTATGTTGGCTTGGGAAAGGATTATTTCTTTGAGGAAAGGAGATATTTGAAAAGATCCGGGGCGCGGATTTATATTTTGGTAACATTCGATAGCGGCACTCTGAAGAATTTTCCGTCTAAATAAGTTACTTTCTCTTTTAATTAGTGAGACATTCTTCAGATCAAAGTTGTGGCTGAATTTATTTCTATGCATTTGATAAATTGCTATACACAGGGTGTCCATAAAGTTCGTGTGCACTTTAAAAAATTTATAACTTTATTTGTATTTGCGATAGAAATAAGCTATAAAAAATGTTATAAAGTTTAATGTACCTAGTATTAAGTATAGCTAAAATAACTAATGTGATTTCAGGTATTACTGTAAATCAGTTGGCAAATGTTTTCCGTGAACTGCAAAATCGTATTACCCTTTGTATTGCTAATGATGGAGGACATGTGGAAACTTAAATAAAAGTTCAATAAAACCTTAAAAAATATAGATTTACTTCTTTCTAATCCTTTCTAGAAATTATTTCTATCGCAAATACAAATAAAGTTATAAATTTTTTAAAGTGCACACGATTTTATGGACACCTTTTTGAGTTCAGAGATACAATTTTAAAATTTCTGCATGTTTCTCCAATATATTGTAAGAAACAGTTCATTTTTTATGTACTTGCATCAGAACTATATATATATATATATATATATATATATATTTATATATTATATATATATATATCATTAAAAACGACAGACAAGGTACTACAGTTAAGCTTTTTATTTAATTTTTCTTCTGTTCGAACAAGAGCTTTCTTTTCTGTACAAAGAGTGTGTAAAAACTGTCAAAATAATAAAAAAGAAAAATCCAACTCTTAAGAATATTAACTACGAACAAAGCCACAATGTGCAAACCGTATTCGGAAATTAAAACATCCCTACAACACACTAAAACATACACATAATGCACACACACAATTAAGCTGAAAAATCGAATCATCCTTGATAATGGCTAAAGGTATAGACGAAAGCGGTCGAATCTATAAAAACATTTGGACAGTTTTTACACACTCTTTGTCCAGAACACAATAAAAACACAATACCAAAATTGCATTGCCGTGTTTAAACAGGTTTGAAGAGTGTCATATATAAAAAGGACTGACTTAAGCGAATTATGTCATGTATTTTGCCTAAACTTATTATAAAATCTAAAGTATGTAAAGTCAGCACATGAAATGAGTTTGACTGATA